ATGGGGATGGCTGTGTAGCTGCGCCCCCAAATGGACCTTTCCTCCCCAATTTCCCTCAGGGTGTCTCTGGGCCTGGGGCAGGGAACTTCTCTACAGCCATTCCCTTTGCCAGCCCTTTCCTCCAGCACATTTCGGACATTGGGGGGTTCAGCGATCCCTAAAGCGTGCACTTCAGCCCCGGCCACGCGGGCAGCCCAGCCCGGACTTTGGCGACGTCGATGGGTCTGCGGTTTGACTTTGCCCAGCTGAAGGGAAGGCGGTTGGGGTGTGCGCCTCCCCCCCCCCCTCGCCCCCCCTCCCGGCGGCTTGCCTGCCTAGGTAGCCCGTGGCCACTTGTCCTCCCCACTCCCCACCCCCGCAGCCCTGCCTGGCCTCCCCAAGGGGAATCCGGTGGTGGGACGTGCGGCACAGTCCTTAACTTCACCCCAAGGAAACCTCCAACTGGGTCACACCCCGGCCTCCACCAACCGAGTGAATGTTTGTGCGTACACAGCGTAGGGCTCCAGGGAGAATGTAATTTTGTTTTCTCCCGAGGGACGGGTCTTGGGCACCTGGTGAGAGTGCGCAGTGAGTTGCCTCTGACACTTGATTGAAGACAATCTTTCCTGACGGCGATAGGGAGGGGCTGGGGTGTGGCTGGCACCCACTTTCCCCTGCGAACCCCATTAGGTACTTTCCTCCAGTGTTTGTTGAACACAGCTCCTCCTTTCACGTCTGTGTGTGCAAAACGCTTGGACGAGGGAGGGTAGAGTCCGGGGCGCTGACCCCAGACATCTGATAGGGACTTGGGGAGCAGCTTGAAGTGAGATGAGGCGGCCAGCCCTCCCTGCCAGGGGAAAGCTCCCTGAGCAGGTGACTGGACCCCTGACTGTGGTGTGACCACCGAATATGCAGAAATAAGCATTCCTTTTAATAAGCATTCTACTGGAAAATGAAACATTCTGTTTACATTGCTGATGCAAAAACATTTTAACCACATTTGTAAATGAAAAGTTAAATATTAGTACTACAAATCTTCCAAAAGCAGTGATCACTAAGCCAGCCATTTAACCACTCAGTGTCAAACAGAGATAATTCTTTGCCTACATTACAGTGATGTTCCAATAAAATAATTCATGGGAAAGCTCTTACAAATTTCAAGTGTTATATAAATGTCTGGCGATTACATCTGCATCAGAGCACTTGGTTTGAGAGGGGAGGGCAGAGAAGAACTGATGCTGTCCACTGGACAGGCCATGTTGTGTTGAGACTGATGGTGGGACCAATCCCAAGTGCGGCCTGGAGTATGTGGGTGGGGGCCGGGGAAAAAAAGGGTGCAGGACAAAAACCCAGACCTGGAAAGGGACTGAGAGGAAAGGCTGTGAACGTGGAAAAGCCACCAGATAGCTGGGATACTCTGACCACCTTTCCTGCTACTGGCAAGGACTTTGGCTGCTTTAGACAATGTTCTTGACACGAGCCAGCCCTGACCTAAAGTACTACTCACTCAGTTATTGCACGACACGCGTCAGTGCTCTTGGTGGTGAGATCCAGGGGTGAATGAGAGGGTTCTGTCTCCACCCTCATAGGGCTGGCATTTGCTGGTGGGGCCAGGGGGATCTTGGTCATGCTGCTGTGCTGGGTGAGCATTACAATCTAACTGGGAAAATAAGACGGATGCTTGCAGATGACCCAAGGTGCAGGCAGGACCTGCTGTCAGCGGTGAGGGCAGAGAGAGGTGACAGAGAGATTAGACCAGAGATGGTGGGCAGGAGGAGACATGTGTGAGAAGCCAGGGGCTACTCCCGCCAGGGAACCAGCTTGAGCACCCCCATGGGCTCGGGGGTTGGCTGACTGCTCCCAGGTGCAGTGAAGAGCCCCTTAGCGTGGAGGAAAGGGTTTCAGATTCAGAGAAGTCAGAGAGGGACTGAGGCCAGATCAAGGAGGGCCTTGAAGTGGGATTGCCAGATTTAGCAAATAAAGGTCCAGCTAAAGTAGAATTTTAGCTATACAATGAACAACTTTTTAGTAGATGAATGCACCATTTGAGGTAACTTATACTGTCCATTGTTAACTGACATCCCATTTACCTGGGCATCCTGCAGCCCTACCTGGAAGGCAGGCCCAGGGAGTGAGGACTTCCTCCTGCAGACGCTGAGAAGCCGGGAGTGGCTGCTGCTGCCCTGCCCGGCATGCCCATGGCCCACGCAGAGTTCACTGCAGCCTTGCTGGACAGCTCCACAGCCTCTCCTGTGTCCTCCATCCAGGCCTGAAGAGATCCTCCTGCTGGGTCTGGAGACACTCTAAGGGGCAGCCCTCAGCCAAGGAGGGATGCAGGTGGGCAGTTCTGCCAGGTTGCGAGCTGCCTGCCAGGGCCCCACTGGGTCCAGCCCAGCTGCCCACAGTGGTAGTCCGTTCCTCCGTGCGCCTTGCAGGCTCCTCTGGCTTCTCTGCTCATTCCCCCCGCCCCCTTCCCGGGATAAATGAATGAACCTAAGTCGTCCTGCTGTCTGCTTTGGTGGGAACCTTAATTAAGAAGCAGTTAGAGGTGATAAAAGCCATGCTTTATGAGACAGCCTGGTAGCAGCCTGCGAAGTGGAGTCGTGGAAAGAGGGGCTGGTGCCCGGGAAACTGAGGCAAACTCTCTGGTAAAAAGCAGAGGTAAGGCTCTGAGGGGCTGAGCTACAGTAATGACAAGAGGGAATAAACGAAGGGGAGGTGGGAGATGCTAGAAGAAAGACTGGGTGGGCCTCGGTGTCTGGTGAATGGCAGGGGAGATGGGAACTGGGTTGACCTTGGGTTTGACTTTGGGTTTTAAGGTATTTGGTATAAGGAGCCAGTTCCTGGGGGAAAATGATGAGTTCAGACATAGCCACGGTGGACTTGAGCCGACAGCAGCAAATTGAAGGGCGTTACATCTGCTTCCTCATTCCCCACCACCAGGTGGTCACTGGGGCCCAGAGAATGCCATTCCAGGGACATTGGGGATTCTGAGGAGTGGCTCCTGAGGGACAGTGTGGCTCTGGCAGCCCTGTGGTGGGTCGCTGTCCACTGGACAGGCCATGTTGTGTTGAGGCTGATGGTGGGACCAATCCCAAGTGTGGCCTGGTGTATGTGAAGACCTAGAACTAAGTAAAGTAATTCATAAATTGAATTTGATTGATGGGAGAACGGCCCTTGGCCTGATGGGGGATGCAGCCTTTGCTTGTTGATAGCCTCTTTCTTAGGCCATTTCGAGCACCTTTTGGGGAAAATCCTCTTGGGGTCTTGTCAGGGGAAAGAGAAGGTGTGAGAGAGAGGAGAGGCAGGGAAAGACGGAGGGCAGGCTTCTCTGGGGCCACTGGGCCTTTAAAAGTAGCCAGGTGGATGCAGTGTTTAAGGGTCGTGGCCAGCTGAGTTGGCACCTTGCCTTAGCTCTCCTCTCAGCCTCCATTGCTAATGCGAAGTAGGCGTAGTAATGAGGGGAGGGAATGGCTTTAGAAAATAACTCATTAGCGGCCTGGCTGTGTGTGGCGTTCTGCCAGGATTCTCCAAGAGAAGTATTGCTGGGAGCAGGCCTGTTCTTTACCCCTTTTTCATCGGAGAAAAAGCGGCTTCCCTATTAATGCTGAAATCTGTATACCTCAGACATATTTTAATTGATTATGATCAGCCTGCATGCCATGGGTCTTTGGAACTGTTTGCAAGCCAATGACAGAGCAGGTGACAAAAGGAGAAGAGTGGGGGTCAGAGAGGAGGACCCACACAAGAGCCTGTGGGGACACAGCCAGTGGCCCAGTATTTTCTGATGACATTGAGTATTGCCACACATGTCCCCGGGCTCTTGGGAGGGGTGCTGAAGAAATCCTTCACAGCCACTGGAGACAAACTAAAAATAGAGCAAGGACAGCTGGCTGGTCACGGAAGGTTGTGGAGACACTGCTCTGAGTGGGCAGGCCTGTCCTAAGTGGTGTGTCCAGAGGGAAGCCTTGCATCTCCCCCATTGGTGATGGGCCTTTGACCCATTGCCACACTAGCTAGGGCATTCCCTGTAGTAGGAGGCATGGCCGTGTAAGTGGGAACAGGAGCTGCCCTTCTGTTCCCAGGGCTGGAGGACCAAATGCTCACCACACCACCCAAACACCCTGGACTGAAGCCTCTGGGAAGGGAAATGGGGCACCATGCAGCACAGGGAGGGAGTGTGTCAGTTTTGACCTTGGCCTTGCCCTTGGTTGGTTTGTACCACCTTGAGCAAGATTTGTTGGGTTAGGGGTTTAGGCAGTGTTTTTCAAACTGTGGTTCCTGAACCAGCTTAAGTAGAACCATGTTTAAATATGAAACCCGCTCTGGCTGGCATGGTTCAGTGGTTAGTGTGTCGGCCTGTGCACAGGAGGGTTGCAGGTTCGGTCCCTGCCCCCGGCCGGGCACGTGTTTATCTCTCTATATATCTCGCCCCCTCCCCACTCCCTTCCATTCTCTCTAAAATCAATGTGAGAAAATATCTTCACTCCTTGGGTGAGGATTAAAAAAATGAAATCCTAGATCTCAGCCCAGACCTCCTGAATCAGAATCTCTGAGGAGTGGAACTCATAGCTCTGCGTTTCTGACAAATTCTCCAGGTGATTTTTATGCCTATGGGGGTTTAAAACAATTGGTTTCCTACTTTCACAGTGCTAATACCGATCCATTTCTTCTGCCCCCATGAGTCTTTTCTTCCTTCCTTCCCTCCCTTCCTCCCTCCCTCCCTCCCTCCCTTCC